GCACCGGAGGAACTCATAGGGAAATCTTCTGCTACCTTACTGTCAGGAAACATCTTTTTAAAAGAGTTGTTTAAATTTGGAGTAGTAGAATTATTATTTAGATTTCAGTGCTCATTAGTTGATAAAGATGATTTAATTGAGGAACCAATAGTTGTTTGTTTTTTGGTGGAAAATATCGTATTTTTTTCTTCACATCTAAGCGGCTCAGCTCGCAACTTTTTTCTATTAACAAAGAAACAGCCGACAGGTTTGCAGCAGATTGATGCTTTTTACCTAAAAATCTTTTAAACTAATCTTCTTGAGGTCTTCTCTGAAGTCATATCTTATGTTATTATATTTAATTAAATATTCATCTAAACATATCGTCGCTGCAAAACAAAACTATCTTAAGTCCGTTTTTGCTGATCTGAGAAAAACGTATTAAAAGTTTTTAATTCAACACTGCGTTGGATCTCCTTAATTAAATTAAATTGTTTTTAAAATACTTATAGAATGCTATTACTTTTCATAATATAACAAATAAAAAACAAAATTTTAAGTTTAAAAGAAGAAATTTAACATTTTATATAGTCTTAAAGCTATATAAAATGTCATAATTCTACAAATTAAATTGCCGCTGCGAAACAAGACAATCTCAAGTCCGTTTTGCTATTCTGAGAAAAAGACATTTAAAGCTATAAATTTAATCACTGCTTTTGATTTTTTTAAATACTACTACTTTTAAATCTTCTTGTTTTCAGTTATTTATTATGTGTTGAGTATTTTAAACCAAACAAGTTTTTTTTTTTTTTTTTTTTTGCCAAAAAATGGACTTAAGATAGTTTTGTTGTGCCGCAACGATGTCTCTAATTTTTTTAGGACATACTTTAATTTTACTCAGTTGTATAAGTTGAATCATTTTTGGTTCCATACTTAAATGAGATGACTTTTTCGGTTTAAAATACTCCTAAGGAGTATTTTAACCGAAAAAAAGTATTTTAAACCAAATATAGGTAATTTTGCCCAAAAATGGACTTAGATAGTTGTTTTGCAGCGACAATATGGTTACTAAATGTTATGATAATTATAAAACCAGTGTTGTGAGCAACTTTCAATAAAAATATTAACTTAAAATTACTGTCACAAAATAACTTCAAGTAATTTATAAAATTAATCACATTCCCTGATTTTAAGGATTTTCAAAATAGGTTCCCTGACTTTTCCAGGTATTCCCTAATTTTTCAGAATTAAAAAACTTTTTCGTGAACTCTGTTCTAGTTTAATTGAAGATCTTTTATTTGAAGGTTACAATTATGTTCTTACCTCTCGTTTCCAAAGTGGTCCATTAAGAACAATTTTAAAGTACCGTCAAATAAGTGGTGGCAGGTTTCTAGTTAAAAAAGGTGAAGTATTTAAAATATTTAACAAATGCGATCATTAATAAAAAACTATGATATCTAGAAAATGGATTTAAACCATAACTCAGGTACGAATTTTGGTAGATAATAAATTTTATTACCGAAACTTTTTGTGATATTCAGGAATGTAAGATAAAACAGCATTTTTAATTTAAAAAAATCATTAAGTCAGTTTTTAGAAGGCTGATTGATATTTTTCCAACTTTATCAATCAGTTAAAACATTTACTCTCGGGTGCTGAATACAAACAAGAATACCCACCCCCTTAAGCGTTTTAAGAAAAATAAGCCCACCCTGAGTGTTATATTAAATTTATTTATTTAATCTGAATCACTGCAAAAAAAAAAAAACAAAACAAAACAAAAAAACAATCTACTGATAAAAATATGAACTTTGTAAAACCGGACTTTGATAATGTAAAACTCCAACTAACCACTTAAGATTTATATGTAATCAACTTTATTAATCAAAAACTGAACAAATATTCAAAGAGTTAGAATTAAAAACCGAAGGACTGATATTAATAAAATTGTTGTAAGAATTTCTATAACAAAATCCCTAGTTTTCAATCATTTTGATGACAAAATAATTTACTCACACACATTATTTAATCTTGAATTATCACATTATTTAATCTTGAATCTTTAACTGCAAAATTTTCATTAAGTTATAATTGAGTTAATGCTTATCATAAACGAAATTTAAAATATTTAAACACAACAAAACGAAATTTAATCTCTAAGAAAAAAAAAAAAAAAAAAAAAAAAATCAAGTTAAGCCAAAAAGTTATCAGAGATTACAATTGAATTATTTAGATTATTTAAAAGCTTTTTAGATATTTTAAATAACCTTATATAAAAGTTAACTTTATTAATTTGTAAATTATTTGTAATAAGATACATCAACTAAAATGAAAATAAAAGCACTTACCACGTAAATTCGAAAATTTTGACTTGCAATAGTTATGTTAGTTTGGTTTATGGTTTTATTTATGCTTTGGACACATGATTTGAAAGGTAAACACACACTTTGTGATTTAACTATCAAAATCATTTCTAAAAGCACAAGCAAAGTGTTTGGCTGAATGTCCCTACAAAAAAATAAGGCAAGCAATCAAAATTTTAACGTAAAAACTTTATTTATAAAATCCATTATAAAAAGTAATACTAAATAAGATGTATTATAGAAAATAAACACATAAACTAACATAGTTTAAAACATTACCACATTAGATAAATTTTTAAACATAGACGCGCACATAACGCGAGACCTGAAGGAATTGAATGACTAAATTTAATAACAATTATTATAAGAGTTAAAAATACTATTACATGATACATACATAATAATGTAAACATCAGTCAAGACATTCAGCAAATTACTACAAGTAGTAACTCAGCCCGCCCGTCTTAGTTGTCATCAGATGTTTTAGTATGTATAAAAAACTACAATTATTTTAGTAGCTTCAGTTTCTTAATTTGTTTCAGAGACAAGGTCTCAAACGAAAGATGGTAATAAAATTATTCATCAAAAGCTACTGTAATTAAACACAAAACTTAATTTACACTAGTTACATCAGTTTATGGGTGATGGTGGAGATAGTAATCATAAATCAGAAACCATTTTCACATCAGTTATAACTAGCCGACAAAGACATCAATTACTGTTAAATTTATGAAAATTAATTATCAGATAGGGGCGAAATAAAGCTCAACATCTTTATTCTGATGAACTATGCTTTAATTCAATCATCATTTAATACAAATTTTGTTTATATTTTAATGTTTCTTGTATGGTTTTTCTCCCCAGTAATTGCTACATAGTAGCTGTGGGAAGCAGATGGAATATACAGTAATCAATACTAACTTAATAGCATAAAATTAATGTTTGACACTGCAAATGAAATATACTTCACTAAAAAGAAGCTCCAGCTTGCACGAACAGAGCTACCAAAATCGCTAATTTTGATAGTTATTCTGTGTCAACATTATGATAATATATCAATAAAAGAAAACACTTATAACAATAATTCAGCATAATAAACAAAGTATTAGAAATACAAATACACTTCATAGCCATGGAAGTTTAGCAATTCATCATTATTTTTTATGAACTGAGCTTAGTACTAATCACTAGTGTAGATAAATTTATGAAACTATTTTATTACTTGTATTTAAACATTTATCAGAGTAACTATTTAACTACATAAGCTTTTCAGAGCGATGCGGTAAGTTATCATCAAGTAAACACACGATATTGAAAATTCTTCATTAGGAAGGCAGCAATATTTTCAACATTATATTTTGCATATTGCATTAATCATTAGAACGTTATTTATGTTACATTAGTACAAAACACCACCTGTAATCCTTATGATTAAATAAGATAATATCAATACCCATAAAATGTATAACTTTAAAACATGTCAATCAATCTATTCCATTGCATCATTACCTAAAGCAAATATAAAAATATTATAGATAATTTGAATAAATCTTTGTATTCAGCTTAAATAAATAATCATTTATTCAAAGAACTCATCTGTCCCTATTCTTATGTCATCATCATACAAAGAAAATATTTTTTGTTAAATGTTCATGATCGAACGAACACACAGTAATATCTTTAGGCTGAATGCTTGAGGACCAAAATTTATTATTGGAAATCAAGACGACACTCTATTGCTAGAGAATTCGATGCTTGATATCCAAGTACTTAAGCACATGCTTATAAAAATGCATTTAAAATGGTTAATGCTCAGTTATAAGCCTATCATCACTCCACAGTTAGACTGGGGCGGCATCATTTATCATCATAGCATTAATTTGAAGGTGTACAAATGACATTTTTGTTTTGAAAATGAATAATTTAAGACTTTTTTCAGACAAATGCCTCAATATAATCTCGGTAATCAAATAAAAAGAAAACCTTTATAGATGATATTTCATATCGTCATCGGTGTCATCAATAAGTCTTTTAGATTTGCACTATGATTCTCAAAAACATTTTGGCTTGATAAATACTTTTCGGTAACATTAACCTATTAACTGGTATATCACCTCAGAAAATATATTTCATCAGTAGTCAGCCCCGAAAGATGATAGTTAATTCATCATTGGTGGTTAAACACTTATTAAATCTACACTAAATAAAAATATTAAAACAATTGAATTTAAAGGAACAGAACTTACATAGTAGTTTTCGTTCATTTCTAAGCTTGTTAAGCCTAAATACAGTTATAGCAATTACCGCACCTTCAAACGGATTTGAAAGAAAACTTAGATTCACTTACAGTTTAAATACGTTTTGTACGAGGTATAGTAACTAACTAGTCTTATAAAAGCAAATCAGTTGAAATTGTTAAAAAAAGCAAATGTGATTTTAAGAAATAATTAAATTAATTAAAATATAATTAAAAACAATTTATTATTTTGAAAATTCATTTTGATTATAAAAATTGTGTAAAAACTTTTGTTAATTTAAAAATTATATATATTATTACGTTTTTATAACAATAAACATCTTTAATGTTTTTTACAGTTCTGTAGATTTTACAGAAAAGTACAAATACGTGGTTTTTTTAAGATTCTAGACGTAATTATGAGTAGGTCTTTTCGGGGCTGACTACTGAGGAAATATTTTTTCTGAGGTGATTTACCAGTTAATAAGGGTGAGGTGTGATTTACCAGTTGATAAGTTAAACAAAGCTTAGAAATGAACGAAAACTACTATGTAAGTTCTGTTCCTTTAAATTCAATTGTTTTAATATTTTTATTTAGTGTAGATTTAATAAGTGTTTAACCACCAATGATGAATTAACTATCATCTTTCGGGGCTGACTACTGATGAAATATATTTTCTGAGGTGATATACCAGTTAATAGGTTAATGTTACCGAAAAGTATTTATCAAGCCAAAATGTTTTTGAGAATCATAGTGCAAATCTAAAAGACTTATTGATGACACCGATGACGATATGAAATATCATCTATAAAGGTTTTCTTTTTATTTGATTACCGAGATTATATTGAGGCATTTGTCTGAAAAAAGTCTTAAATTATTCATTTTCAAAACAAAAATGTCATTTGTACACCTTCAAATTAATGCTATGATGATAAATGATGCCGCCCCAGTCTAACTGTGGAGTGATGATAGGCTTATAACTGAGCATTAACCATTTTAAATGCATTTTTATAAGCATGTGCTTAAGTACTTGGATATCAAGCATCGAATTCTCTAGCAATAGAGTGTCGTCTTGATTTCCAATAATAAATTTTGGTCCTCAAGCATTCAGCCTAAAGATATTACTGTGTGTTCGTTCGATCATGAACATTTAACAAAAAATATTTTCTTTGTATGATGATGACATAAGAATAGGGACAGATGAGTTCTTTGAATAAATGATTATTTATTTAAGCTGAATACAAAGATTTATTCAAATTATCTATAATATTTTTATATTTGCTTTAGGTAATGATGCAATGGAATAGATTGATTGACATGTTTTAAAGTTATACATTTTATGGGTATTGATATTATCTTATTTAATCATAAGGATTACAGGTGGTGTTTTGTACTAATGTAACATAAATAACGTTCTAATGATTAATGCAATATGCAAAATATAATGTTGAAAATATTGCTGCCTTCCTAATGAAGAATTTTCAATATCGTGTGTTTACTTGATGATAACTTACCGCATCGCTCTGAAAAGCTTATGTAGTTAAATAGTTACTCTGATAAATGTTTAAATACAAGTAATAAAATAGTTTCATAAATTTATCTACACTAGTGATTAGTACTAAGCTCAGTTCATAAAAAATAATGATGAATTGCTAAACTTCCATGGCTATGAAGTGTATTTGTATTTCTAATACTTTGTTTATTATGCTGAATTATTGTTATAAGTGTTTTCTTTTATTGATATATTATCATAATGTTGACACAGAATAACTATCAAAATTAGCGATTTTGGTAGCTCTGTTCGTGCAAGCTGGAGCTTCTTTTTAGTGAAGTATATTTCATTTGCAGTGTCAAACATTAATTTTATGCTATTAAGTTAGTATTGATTACTGTATATTCCATCTGCTTCCCACAGCTACTATGTAGCAATTACTGGGGAGAAAAACCATACAAGAAACATTAAAATATAAACAAAATTTGTATTAAATGATGATTGAATTAAAGCATAGTTCATCAGAATAAAGATGTTGAGCTTTATTTCGCCCCTATCTGATAATTAATTTTCATAAATTTAACAGTAATTGATGTCTTTGTCGGCTAGTTATAACTGATGTGAAAATGGTTTCTGATTTATGATTACTATCTCCACCATCACCCATAAACTGATGTAACTAGTGTAAATTAAGTTTTGTGTTTAATTACAGTAGCTTTTGATGAATAATTTTATTACCATCTTTCGTTTGAGACCTTGTCTCTGAAACAAATTAAGAAACTGAAGCTACTAAAATAATTGTAGTTTTTTATACATACTAAAACATCTGATGACAACTAAGACGGGCGGGCTGAGTTACTACTTGTAGTAATTTGCTGAATGTCTTGACTGATGTTTACATTATTA